ATTTTGGATATCATGTGTAATACATAAAGTCACACTAAAATTGGCCAAGGAATCGAAATAAGTAATAATATCCAGGAGGTTTTATTTGAAAAAAAAAAACGATTAAGCAATTGCAATTTCGTTGAAAATATCTTTAGTTTGTTGCCTTAAAGAGTCCTTCAACATGCCCCGACAAATTGTTCATATTAGGGTCTTTTGGTCGAAGCAAAATAATTAGTTTTTTACTTTATCGACCTGGTCGAGTGTACGCAAAAGCCTCAAAACGTTTACCAGGTGAAAGTGAGGACGTAATTGTACTTTGTTAACAAAATATGAAAGACAGAGCTAATAATACATATGTAAATTCGGTCCGTCCGAGGGTCTGAGATCTCAACAATTTTTCGAAATACACAAAAAATTTCTCTAAAGACTTCAGGTTTATGCGATATTTCATTGTTGAGGTCTCAAAGTTTCACACGAACCGAGTTTACATAGGTGTGTCCCAGAGGAATCTACCAAATCCCTTCACCCCTGCACGAAATCGACGTTAGCCTGGCATTCCCTCTTGTTTGAGGATAAAAAAATTAAGTGTCCTTCCAATAACAATCAAATAAAGTAGGATAAATTGAATTCGCGACGAAGCAACGGTCAACTTAAAAAAAATGCCCAATGTAACATAGAATGGCGTTATACTTTTGACGACGACTCAACTTTCTAGGGTTAATCAATAAAAAAATAAAAATTACAGCCCTAGTTATTAATGCAATGGAAACGAGAATTGTGTATTTAAAAAAAATGAGGCTTCTGCATTAAACGCGATTCCATTTGGAAATTTTGACTTGCCAGTTATGCTAGTTTTGAGATAAGACGATACGGGCCAAACTTATACCTCTCTTATCGGCTATTATAGGTAACACGTATTCGAATTTAATTGATGTGTTTCACTTCGCATAGCGCGCTGTCGTGAGTGGTGTGTTATTTTAGTGCTTCTTGATAAAGGATCGAATCTAAACGGATGGGGGTGAGTTTTTGATTTGTAATTAGGGGCGTTAAACGCTTCGTAGACAACTAACAAGTACACCTTATAAAAAAATCACATCACTGTAGACAACATCCATCTTTTTTCTGCAAACAGATGTTTCAAATGATTCAAAAAGATGTTTTTAATCCAGCGCTTTAGTTTGTATGTCGATTAATGCCAGAATACGCTTATTTTAGATTTTATGTAACGAATTTTGACTTTCGATGGTGTCACGTAAAAATCCAAAAAAGTAATTATTGATTATACCATTAGATTAAAAACCATTCTAACTTAAAGCCATACTCTACACTTTCTTCTTATTATTGTTTTCGAAGTAAATTTCCAACAGCAGACCACTACATGTTGCAAGATTAGCAATTAGTCATTTCACCTGTGGCCTTAACTAGAGATTTCATTTCTTTCTATAAAATGTTCGTATTTTAAAGTGACCCCAAAAAGGGGGGTGAGGGGGCACCCTCTTTGCTTGTTATTTAAAGAGGTGATGTAAATATGCTTGTAACTGAGTCTTTAATGCAGTTGTATCTACAGTTCTAAGGCTTTTTGTTACAATTTTTATTGAAGCCATTTTCAACTTTATTTTTTGCACTTACCCCTTAGACGCGGAGGTGTTTTGGCATTGACAATAATCAACAAGAAGGAGGGGACTATCAGGTCCTTGCATGATATTTCCCTTAAACCTAGCCAAAAGGTATTTCAATCCAGTGCGTTGTTTTTTACTCGAGCTACTTTGTAGGCCAGTTTTGGTCGTCACCCTTACAACCGCTCGTGCTACCCTGTACAAAATGCAATTTAAAAATTGCCATTGAACCGTTTGTCCTGAAGTATTTCTTTTAAGTGAAGTTGCCCGATTACTAAGTATAGGATTTTTGTTGTCCATCCGCCACTTCGTGTAAAGGGTGAAACATTATCATAATGAAAGTCGAACGGTGTCTCATTTGATAGATATCGGTCTCCCATTCATGCATCAGCACGCAACTTCTTCGGAATGACGTCTGAATTTACGCGTGCAAAACGCACTGATCCATGCATGTGCTTTTCTTAATTTACGTTGGCATAGAAAAATTTATTAAGCTATTTCATATAGGGAAACACAACGTAAAAGTCACAAAATATGTACATGGTGGAAATCGAAAATTGGAACATAGGCGTTTAACATATTTTACGCAAAAATACTTAAAAAAAAAAGTTATAGGGATATAAATTCTGCATCTAAATCATGTGAAACGATTATTCTACCTCTTTTTGTACGCGAAAAAATTAATTATAAAGATTCTGTTTTCACTATTTAAAAATTTTCATTTCACATTATTTTTTAATTGGAGGGGAGGGGGGCTAACTTAATAGAGTTTTCATTTTTCTCCTTTAAATTCCGGTTGTAAGCTTTCATAAAGATAACTAAAGGCAATTTTGTTTGGTTTCGCACAATTTACTTGATTGTTGCTATTCAGTGTATCAAATAAGAAGTGTGATTTTTTTGTGCACTTTTACAGCAATGATTACATTGGATGGCTTTTTGCAGAGCAGGTTGAGCGGTTATGGAAAATGAGCTTCCTCATAAATCTATTCACGTGGTCTCTGATACAACGGAATATCGTAGGATCCTCACTTCTCTAACAGCCATTTTTTTTAACCTTGCAATTTCGATCCATATGAAATTCCTGTCTTGGGCATCGAAATAGTGCTCTTGATCGTTTTCCAACAATCTCAGTGGAAGAATTAAGAAATTCATGTCTTCGGCATTAAGATAATGCTTTTAGCCTTTTTCTAATGCTATAAAAAGTATCTTGAGAGCTTAACTATGAGTTATAACGAACGCGGACGAATGGGCGGACAATAGAACATACAACCATACAAAACTATAAAGGATCTGAGATCCTTCAAAATCTCAAATTGTTTCTAATATTCCATTAGAAGCTCTTTGTGATAATGTTTTATTTTTCAGATATTCGTAATTGAACTGCAAGTGTGAGTGAGTGCGGTTGTGCGGTGTTTCGTGTCTAATGCGATGGATAAATGGTCTTCCCTAGGAGAGTCCGAATTAGTAAGGCTAAAGGGTAAGTTTTTTTTTAAATGGCACACTAAGCTATGCCAGTTATCGTTACAAACTTTAGAGCTAAGATTACAATTTAGTGTATACACATAATAGAAAAAGTAAGTTTTTGCCTGAAACTACTTTATTTAAAGCTATGGCGCAATCTGGAGCTGTCAGTAGAACACAATATTTTACACGAAAAAATGTCAGCCAGTGGGGTGCCTTGAATCTCACCAATAATCTCACATAATTTTTAAAAACGCGATTTTTTTAACTCCGGGAATCTTGAAACGTAAAGATCCGAGGAAATCTTAAAATCGAAATTTGGAGTGCTCCTAATTTTTTATTGGTGAAGTTAAAAACAAAAACAAAAAAAAAACAAAATGGCGGTAAATAATCACGGTATACTTCTTCAATTAGCTCTTGTCTTATTTTGATTGCATTGTAATGTACAATTTTCAAACGAATTACACTTTTTTCAATTCAGCAGTTTCGATCCTTAGTTGACTTTTCTTTGAGAATAGTTTCGACATATTACTTCGATTTTAAACAAATATTCTCACATGTTTAATTCCAGATTTACTCTTTGTTCCAGATTCCAGAAGGGCAGCCTTATAAAGGTAGGATTTTTTCTTTTTGCATGTGGGTGTAGGGTTTATTGCATTTTTTCATTTTATGTATTTAGCAGTGGGGAAAAGTGAATAGTGCATAACCACGAGGTAAAGTATTAAGTTTAGCTAACTTTCGTACGATAATACTGAGTGAGTTGTGGCCATCTTGTCACCATCTTAGTGACGAAAGCATAACTGTAATGCGGCTAATTCTTTCGTTTCGAAGTTGAGTGATTTCGAAGATTTCTGTACTCCCTTAGGATTTCTAGAAGGTTAATTTACTCTTTTTTTTAAAAAAAAAAGGTAAGTGCGATTGAATTGGCACAAGCTTGTTTGTTTACTAATGAGTTCTGATATTTTTTAATAAACAAACACGCAAAGAATTGGCCTGCTTACTGATGTTTTCGATTATTCACAGCCTCACCCTTGGGATTGCAGAGTGTGTGATCTGAATCAACTCCAGAAGATCCAAGTGAACCTACGATCCGGTGGCAGAATCACCTGGAGACCACTCAAGCGAGCGAGGTAAGTGCACCACTGTTTTTAACACAAATCTATGTGGATCGTGCAGATCGTGACGGTATGCACTTTTCAAGCAAAATTAATTACTGCAAAATTTTCCGTTAGGTTACACCTTCTTTCTTACCAAAACATTGAAAGTAAAAATAAAGCTCTCAGCGTTTTACTCACTACTTTTTCCCATAACTGAAGAAATATTCGAATTGTTTTGCATTCTCTTTCTGATGTACAATATTCCACTTTTCAGCAATGGAGAAGGGTGTTACCTGTAGTGCGGTTGTGCAGCGCCGTTCCTTCCGTGGTTTATATTATGGTTCTTCTCAGGCGAGATCGACTTAATAAGGCTAGGGGTGAGTTCTCACTTTTTAATTTGGTCAAATTTACAGGAAACGTCACCTCACTAAACGAAAATGCCACATTTGATTGAAAGCCCATTTTGGGTAGTTTGGTTTCTTGATTCAGTAGTTTTGATTTTTAATTCTTTTACCTTGGTGCGCCACATAATTTTTTTATAATAAGTCCCTTGGGAATGCTTCTACCCTAACCATTTTGTTCAATTTTAAGTAGTTACGTTATTGGCAATTGTCACTTTAACATAAATGTATTTTTTGTTGCAGATTCCAGAAGGGCAGCCTTATCAAGGTAGGATTTTTCTTTTCTATGCATGGGCCATTTTCTTTTTTGTGTATTTAGCAGTGCAGTGGGGGGGGGGGAGTGTGTAGTGCATATAGGAATAACAACGTCGAATTTAGCTAATCTTCGTGCCATAATACTATTTGACTATGTGACTGTTCTCTTCGTCTGTCATCTTGTTAATGTAAGATTGGCCCAAAGGTCAACTGATCTGTTTCGCAGCGTCAACCAACTTACTTCATTATAATCGGCATGACTATGAATTCATAGCCACACTGCTATTATGAATGAATTTGATTTTCTCTGCGAGTTAAATCTTCCGCTTTCAAGTGAGTGACTTCGAAAGGTGTTACAATTTACTTAGTATTACACGTAGATTGCTTTTTTTTAAATTTTAAAGGTAGGTGAGCGTTTCAATCACTATATTGCTTGGTTCCTTACTAACTCCATTATTTCTCAGAGCCAGGTAGTAGACTACTAAATCTACTGTTGTGAGGGGGTCCAACCTGCCGTGATGGATCGTATCGGATGCAGCCATAACCACTAATCATGTTTGTTCAATTGGAAAAAGGTGAGTAGTATGCCACTTCCCTTAACCGTTCAAGTTACAACATAGCCAACACTCAACGTCATGCTTATGTAAAAAAATCGTTAATAACTGTATTTTCAATTCTCAAATGACGTGATTTAAGAATAATCCAAAAACTCATTTTTTAAATATAGTTTTACACAAACATTTTCGAGAAAATCACATGGGAATTTCATGGTCCTACATAATATTACACTTTTCAGTGATGGTACCAAAAATAAGGACGTCGTGGGACCTCAAATAGTTAGCAGTCCTAATCTAGGAAGCCCGAATTAATAATGCAAAAGGTAAGTTTCTTTGATTAATTATGCATAACGGCAACTATGGAAACTCCATAGGCCTAAATATAAAGATTTAACTCCTAGCAGCATTTAAAAGAAGAGTTTGCACATCATAATTCTCTTATTGCAGTTATGTAATGAGATGATACCTACTCTTATTGTGCATCAAAATTGTTTATTCTCATGATTTCCTACTGCGAGAGCAAAACTATTGCTCCTCAAAGATTTCCATGTCTTGCAGACATTTCAATAAATCTATGGGGATATTATCGACTCCTGCTGCCATCCTTCATTTCTTTTACAGGTTTTGCAGGTGTAGGGCCTTCTTTTATTGTTCTCAACCCGTGTTTTCGTAACAATCAAATTATTTTCTTTAGAAAACTCATCTCCTTTCTCAGAGTCCGTATTTTTCAACCACTCCCTTAACCTGCTCATTTCCCACATTGGTATTCCAATGTCCCATCACAACCTTACAGCATTGCTGTCTTTCCTTACTAATTGGTCCTCTTTAATTTTTTTGTACTGATTTCTATTTTCAACTTTTCAGTAATGGTAACGAAGTCTGATGCGGTGTCTTTAATGAGTAACAGTCCTCCATAGGAGAGATAGAATTAATAAGGCTAAAGGGTAAGATTTTATTTTTTTTACTGAGAACATAATATGCAATTATCCTCTTCAGACGTCTAAAATGACAAAATTTTTTCAAAGATGTAGCATGTTCGTTTATTTTTTAATTCCTGCAGCTATTTATCATTTGTTGTTGTTTTCCAAGGTTTCTTTGTTGCGGGTCTCTTGCTAAAACGGATGCACTCTTTACCAATTTTGGTTACACCTTCCTTTATTTCCTCCCAATGTTTGTTCACACTTTCTTTTTTTGCATCTTATTTCATCCTTGTCCAATTCTTTCAAATTTCCAAATCCTTTTTGCTACTATCAGCAGCTTTCCTCACTCTTTTCAGTCTTATCTCTGAATCTGTAACTATGACAATATGGTAGCTGAATATGTCAGCTCCTGGTAGATCAAGACTCCCTCCTTATATCTTCTTTGTACCAATATAGAATCTATTTGTGTCTAAAATAGATCTCCTTGTGTTTGCTTTTCTTACTGAGAACTCTTCACAAATGTAAAATGACGAACTTTTTTCAAAGATTTAGCATGTTCGTTTATTTTTCAATTAACATTTCAATTGCATTATCAATTGTCTATTCTCTATTGTCTTCCTATAATTATAGTGGAAAGTAACCTTTCATCTCATCAGAGTTTCTGTTGATACCAGGTTAATAAATTAAGCCTCAGCACTTTACATGCCCTCGTAATGTAAGCTGCTTTTAGAAGCATTAAGCATAAAATATTTTGTTTAATTTTAATCAAATATACTTATACTTATTCATTGTTACAGATTCTAGAAGGGCAGCATTATCAAGGTAGGATCTTTCCATTTGCATGCGCATTTTATTTTTTGTGTATTTACCTGGACGTCGATGCATAATTTTTATTATTAAACTGAGTGGGCTGTGACCATCCCCTCAGCCTATTATCTATGGTTATGTAAGATTAACTTTCGTTCTCAACCTTCTCAAATGATCTGCTAGCAGCTATGAAAAGTATAACCTAATTCTGAAATTAGTACATTGTCGCTTACCGAAATTTAGAACCGATTCCGAACGTATTTAATATGCCTAAATTTACATTAAAGCATCCTCTGTTAAAATGCGCACCGCGATCGTATCGAAAATGCGGTAGTGCTAGTGGTAATGAAAATCCGTAACAATTTGTACTAGATGTCACATAGCAATCCTCCAAGCCATGCAGTTGTGGTTAGTTAATTTACGGAGTAGAGTTCTTGACAGGGGATAAATGTCTAAACCGCTTCGAAATAACTTTTCTCCATACTAAACGGTACAGCTACGACTTCGCGGTTGCACCTACTTAGTAACTTCAGACTTTTGATACGGCAGGGACTGCACGACCATCTGTTAAGAGCTTTCTTTCGAGGTTTGGTCTGTCATCCATCCTAAACTAAAGACACTGTATTTTTACTGCAACTTTTAAAATTAGAATTATTAGTATCGTATCCAAACTGATTAACTTGGAGAAATGTTATGAAGCTCTGGTGCTTTGAAAAGGTAAGTGAGTCTTCGGGGGTTCAGTGGGACCACTTGAGTCAGCTGAGGATGGCCAACGCCCCACCCCCATTATTTTACAATAATTGGGAACATATCTCATACAAATTTTGCATCATTGTAGTTCTAGCAACCCCATATACCTACATGCAGTATAAAAATAAATTTTACCTTTTACTTATCACTTCTTTATGGCGCACTTTTCTGAAGTTTAAAAATTTCTGCGTCTGCATAAAGGGGATCTAGTAGGCCCATAGATATAATCTTTTACTTTTCAACTCCCTTCCGCAAGGCCCTCACTTTGTCGAGCATCAAAAATATTTATTTCTTGCTTAAGGGTAGCTCTAGTAACCACATACATGTACATCTTAAAATTAATCCTTATGAATTTTTTGATACTTGATACTTAGAATTTAGTTAACTGTCGTGGGGTTGTGTCCCTGGTGGGAACTAATAGGGGCGCATTTCCGCCACTTTTGTTGCCATTGCGCTGGGCCGCGACGTATGCTAAATAGTGTGGTGGAAAATTATAAATTTTCCCATGAAAATTCTTTCCTAATACTGACTTAAAATTTCTATTATTATCTAATATTATTAGACTAATGTCCTTAATAGAAAAAAGTGATTGACTAACTATTGACTAATGTATGCCCATAATGATCTGTTAGAAGATATGAACTTTATAAGTTCTGACTTTGAAATTACACTCCATACAGTCTTATTGTCAGTTTTCAAACGCATTGAAGATAAATTTACAATCAAGTAAATTGGATGGTCCACTTGAGAGTGATGTAGTGCTGGTAGTCGTAGCACAAAAATGAGAAATACCCTTTCTTCAGTGAAAATATTGTACTGGGTAGTTTAAGTTTTTGGTAGCATATAAAATTTATGGTAACAGCTTCCAATATTCGGGGATTCAGTGGGATCACTGGAGTTGTATCTGCGGATGGCCAACGCCCCATATCCATTTTCCTTTTAACTGATAATTGAGGTGAACGTATAATTTAAAATTAAGTTCAATTGAAAACGATACATATGCATTAAGTAACGTCAGAAGATTAATGTCGCACAAAACTTTTTTACTTTTGAAGAATTAATCTATTTAGTACAAGCTGGTTATATGGTTCAGGGTTTCAGAGCTCCTAAAGTAACGCCTATTTGAAGAGGCACGTATTCGCTCCAAAAGTTATAAAATTTCATGAATAAATATAATAAAGTTCATGAATAATTGGTGATTCTCTTTCAATGAATTTTCAAGCAATTAAATACGTCCAATAAATAACGTAATTGAATACATGGATAAATTACTTTTATGGTGGGGTTATACAATCATTATCATTAGTCCCTTTGATTCTATTGGTTATTTCTTAATCTTCTAATGATTAGTATAAACCCACCAATAGTCGTATTCCATTTTTCCAACAAGGAATATGGGTCAAATGTCTATGAGTGAATTTGAGTGTTTTTCATTGTGCAATTAAATTTCATTTATTTAAATATAAATAAATAGAAAGGACTCGTATTATAATTTCCATACATCTCTGTAATCACTGGAAGTATTGCAGTTACAAGGTTACACTTATTTTTAATAGTACCTAATTGGTAGCAGCTGCATCTAATTTTTTAATTTTTTCAGTGGAGTTTAATGAACAAAAATTAAAATCAGAACACATTAGTAATCATATTAGTGGAAAAAAGGTACCGGAAAATAAATAGTTTCCTTTTACCTATTAGAAGGGACATTGTATCGCAAGTGCGTGTACAAAAGCAAGTTAATTAAATTTCGGTCTTGAAAATGGTGCCATTAAGCAATAGGAATTGTCTGCCTTTTCAAAGTAAAAGACGAAACAACCTGTCACACGAATTTTACGTTTATCACGTAATTTCTCCGTTATTTACGATGATTAAATTCGAGACACTTTTACTTAAATTCGGTTTAATGATAGGTTGCACGTCTGATTGACACTTTGAGCGCTTACCTGTATTGTCTCGAAGTCTCGGTAGGAAGTTGTTCCAAAATGCGCATGCAGTTGCCCGCGGTCCTCTACCTATTCCTGTTTTATCGGCATTGAAGATAAAATATTGGGGATGTTCTTTTGTGTATATAGGCCAATTTACGTCATCCGTCACGGGTTTTCTATAAATAAAAGAGCAAATAAGTTTTCACATAAAAATCGCTTTATCGCTGTTCGTACTATATTTTGTGTGCCTTGATGCTATGTCGTTTTTTTCGTGGTATTATAAGTTAAATTACGCTTATTACTTGCTAGTTATAATAATATAAAGCTACCAAATTAAAAGTTTATGATTTTGCGTTAAATAAGGAAAAACTGGGAATACAACCATCAAACGAGAATATTTGTATACCGTATTTACACTTAGTTTGATACATTCATGAAATTAAATCTGTGTGTGTAGTATTGATGCAATGGCATATCTCGATTCCTATTGAAATTTTTTAGCGCATTTTTGAAAAAAATACGCTATTATATTCGTTATTGCTGGCAGGCCGGCTGTCCGCGTGAGTTCTCCACAACTACAATAGCTAGAGAATTCAAATTTTCACTAAAAGCTTTCTGCTATAGTGTAGATGTGCAGGCACTAGTCTATTTTGAGTTACATTACTTGTGAGATCGATAATTGATGAAAATAAATTCGATATGGGTTTCGGAGGTGCTATAATTTTACCGTTAGATAGCGCTACCAGTATAAAAACTTATTATTTACTTTGTGATTTGTTTTACAAAATGAAGACGTACCGTCAATTGAAATTAAATAAAATTAATTATTTAACGCAGCCAAAATTACTCGTGAGATCGATAATTTAAACTTCGCTAATAAAATACTGACCTGCATTACCAAAAATGCGCTTTAATCATGCATATGCTGATTTACAACTTGTTTTACATTACCACTTACAAAATTAATGCACCTATGGAATGTAATTTTGTATAAGTCGTACCTGCAAAGCAATTACTTCAAATTGAATATTGTCCAGTTGGTTTTTATCTTAGAGTCTGTATAAATTAATTTACTATTGCAATGTGGACAATTATCTTTCAATTAAGACAATTACTATTATAATTAAATGCGTTTATGGCTTAGTTTAACTTAATAAAAGATATCTGCCACTTAGGTTTTTATGGCATAGGTCTCATACAGGAGATAAGGAATCATTTTGACAATTTTTAGACGTTCTTCACGTAAAAACTTAAACACTACAACTACAAGTTTAGGTTATTAGAGGCGGTTGAGCGTAACGTGTATCGATTACTGTTACTTGCAGATTCTATATCTTGATTAATTGCCATTTGTTGACAAATTATGAAAATGATGTTGCTAGATTACTTCGTCTGCTATTGTTGTCGTAAATGTTTTTTTCTAGGTTACATACTGGATTTTCTACCTTCAGATGGATTGGCAATCCGTGTCCGCATTGTGTTAATGTACTTTCCTTTTAATGAGCAAAGATAATTTCTGATTAAATAAAGATTTATATCGGTGAGAGCTTTTCCGCTTTATAAAAACCTAACATGGAAGTGGAACCTACTTTTGTTCTTCGACGGTATCAAAATTCTCTATTCAATTCCACTCCATGGATCATATTTGTTTTCATATTGGAGATATCACAAAGTACCGAATTCCGATAGTAGAGAGGGGGGAGACAGTCTATCTAGAATTAAAGAATGTTTTTAGGAAAATCTCGGAAATGCGTCTTCGTTTGGATTCACGAGACTTTGGCGCAACAAAATAATTCTGATCTAACATAATTATTATGTTCCTTGATGGTAATAATAAATCACACGTTGGTAAAAAATCAAGTGGACTTGCCATCAAAATGGCGTATCTTTAACTTTGTGTTCCGATAATTTACATGAACCCTCAAAATCCTTTAATAGGGATTAACTGACCCTTTAACAACTTATCCTAATCACAACGGGTACAATTAGAGTTTTTCTAGAAGAGAATGGTTAGGGTTACATTTTGGTCTAAAATAATAATAATAATAATAATATGCTTTATTTTTTTGCAAGCTGGTAAAAAAATAACAAAGTCAAAGTTATAGAGAGAATCACGCAAAAAAAAAAGGATTAGAAAACAATTACAACTGATCTAAGTTCTAATCCTGAAATCAAGCACGAATTTCATTGAGTATTCTAGAAAATCACTAAAAACCCTTAAAATCTGAGAAATGGGAGCCTATAGACTTACTGAACACCATACCCAAATGAAAAACTTTGCATTTTTGTTTTCACCGAAAATACCAGTTAATATTATAAGTTTGTGTGAAAATCGAAGAAGAAGAAAAACAGAAGAAAACTCAATTTTTTAAAACTAAAAGTACAAGATACAATTTCCTGTTTTTTTTACATAAGACCGATATATCATTCCATTTGAAATTTTAAAGAAATTTTCGTTTTTCTACGGTGATTGAATGAGGCTTAAACTACTGTATTCATTTTCGGTTGAAAGCATTTATTGACAAAATTGCCCTACAAAGTTGTATACCGCGATCAAGATATACTAAAGGGGGCACAGAAAAAAGGAACCATTCATAATCCTAACTAGAACCTGGGGCTGCTCACGATGAGACTAGGGTACGTTTGTAAATAAGTAATGGTAGAATTATTGCGCCACTAACTTTTAAATAAAGGAACCGTTGTAATGGCCTACCGTTTCTAAAAAATTAATTTCTGTTTACTTCTGTAGGGTAGAATTTGAATTTGACAGTGTAACTTAAAGATTAAATTTAGTTAACAGTGTATGTGTTACCGCTAATGTTGGCAAAACGTTAATGCGCACATTAACGGCTTAATATGCAAATTAACGCTTCAGATCCACATTAATACATTCTATATTATTAAAGTGCGAAAAAGTATTGAAAAGAGCAATACAAACACATGATTCACGTATACAATCAATGATTTCATTGCAGTAGGGTTCTAAAAAGGTTTTTACTACACTCTTCTCTAAAAATACTAAAAACCTACGTGGCTCAACATTCGAAAGTCTCAAGCAGTCAAAATGTTCTGTAAGTTTTGAACTTTTTCAAACTGCAGGCGATTCTCAAGGATCTTTAAAAACTGAAGGCTCTAACATTCTTAAACAGCACTTTAAACCTATAAAAGCTCTTAAAGCGCACAAAAACTTTGGATCTTATCGAGATTGTTTCCGAATCTTACGAGATAAGGGGCGTAGTTAGAAAAGCGTGATCTGTTGCCGCAATTACGAGGTTGCATAAGATCATTCGGAGACGCGTGTAGGGAAATTAGATACAGGCAGATTATTGGTTTACAGGGCGCGCCGTCGTGGCATTTGCTTTGGTTCCGATTCAGTTTTTTACTGAGCGAATACCTACAGAAAATTAGTGAAAGAAAGTTCTTTGTTCAATTTTAGGATCGATCAATTTCGATCGCACGGTTTTAAGAGAGATCGCCGTAAACAAAAGTACGGGAAGATATCTAAGATCGGCCGCGACTTAGTTAAAGTAGTGTATAACCTTGTGAATAGTAAAAATAGTAACGCAATTCTCGTGTATTACATTATTATTTAATGCAGATCGTCCGCATATGCAACTATATCATCATGAATTATGATCCAAGGGGTTTTAGCTGCTGCACCCTGTAGAGAGGCACAGTATTCAGTGTCCTAAGCGGAAAAATTAGCGTGTGCAGAGTAGTTATTTCTTAGAGAATTTGACGCAAGTTTTGAATTAGGTCGAGGTAAATACAAATCTCACAACAAAATAACCATTTAAGCTCGGATTTAAGTCGATATTACGATGCTCGGAATAATGCTTATTGATTGTAATCAAACTCTACTTACATAGTATTTTCCCACCACCCGCAGCCACGCACAATCTACATCTTTTTGGAATCGAATTTGCAGACTTCAATACCATGATCGTCATATCGAATTTTTTATGATCGTTTAGTCATAATAGCGACTTAAATCGTTATTTTTTTTTGTTATTTGCGACATTTTCAATTAACTACATGCGAAATTACATCACTCACTAGTAGGCGGGGGATACTTTGTGACCTGAAGGCCCAATTTTCAAGTGATTATAACTTTTCTTTGAAAAGGGTTTTTAAGAAACTGTTCGATAGTTTTGTTCCTTAACTCAGCTTTGTACACAACAAATTTCGTGGAATTCTCTCTATTTTCGTTGTCCTACCAAGAATTGCAGTGGAATTTGTTTTGGAATCTTCAAAAAATAATTTCAAATTCGTGATATTCATGTCCAAAAACCCCCAAATACCAAATTTCGTCGAAATCAGAATTTCTTTCGCACCCCCCTTTAGGGATGCGCGCTTTCGTGGTGGGGATTTTGAAAAAGTTTTTGTAAAATCGGGAAGGGCATACTCGAAAACCTATACCTATAAGACGTACTAGCGGTATAACGCCAATTCTTACAAAGATACTGCGTGTAAGGTGTTTGGACTTATGCTTTTGGTGTCAGGGAATTCGTTTATGGTAACAAAAATAACCTACAGGTAAAATAAAACAAAAATATTTCAAAGTTTTAATATATAAATTTATAATAATATTTTATTTAATAAAAATACACATTGTCGTGTCGGCGCGTGATGTCGTCAAAAAGTGTGGTCTCATGCACTTCCGATTTTTGTTACTATAAATGAATTCCCTGGCCACAAAAACATAAATTTAGACACCTTGCACGACCCGGGGTGCCTAAGAAATATAATTCAAACAAAAGTCTGCCATTTTCAAAAAATTGCGACTTTTGAAGGACTTCACGTATCCGGATTACATTTCTGACGCTACCATTGGAGTCTGGAGTCCTCGGATTAAAATAATGGAAAATTGACACCCAGATCTCGTCTCTAGACGAAATTTAGTTTTTTCAAAAATTTTACAATATTAATCACCGTCGCCTCCTCTAAAATCTACCCACACGGAAAATGTCACGTGTTCTTCGGGCCAAATCATTTAAATGGTTCTAAGGAACAGCTGTACTAAGTGGCACCTTGGTATCACAAAATGCAGTATCTTGTGGCGTACCGCTAGTACCACTCTGTCTAACTCTTTTGGTTGCTGAGAAAAAAATTAAAAAAGAAACGCAAATTTCACATTTTTGAGGGTGGCTCCCAAACGAAACACGTTGGACTCTCGGTTTATTCGGAAAAAGTGCTTATTTTGACATACATAATTATCTACATGATAGTCGGGCGGTGATCTTGTTGAAACCATCTCTAAGTTATTGTTATTGAATTGAATTTTTTGGAAAAAAATTGCGCAGTTAATCAGTTATTATCATGAAGAAAACTGGAAAATTCCAAAAATATCCCGGAAAAATCGAAATTTGGCGATTTAGTTTTTAATTTTTTCTGATGTTATTTGAACAGATTCAAAAATAAACAAGCACTTTCTCATTGCCACTTTTTGAGCTCTACAAGACACCGTTGAGATTTGAGTTCTACAATACAGCGTTGAGATATTTTCAATACAATACAATTGTTTAGGAGAAATCATCAACTTTATGTTCTTACCTGGGCCGTAAAAAAGTACACACTGTATTGAGTAACATTTTTATTAAGAATATAACGATATACGGCACACAAAAAAACAAGCAAGAGGATTGTGCAATCGCGAACAACGCCCTAATCATGTGAGAATTTCCATTTTGCAGGAAATTTGGTCTGATAGGCATTCTCGAATGAATAGGGCGTTGTGCGCGAGGGCACCATCCTGTTGAAACCAACAGTTTCTAGTTTATGTTTTTTTTAGGTGGCGTATATGGTTATATTCGTAATAAAAAAAGGTTACTCAATACAATGTGTACTTTTTTACGGGCCATGTAAAAAAATAAAGTTGATGATTTCTCCTAAACGAAACGTTGTATTGAAAATCTCTCTTGTAGACCTTAAACAGTGGCAACGAGAAAGCGTTTTTATTTGTTCTATCTATTCAAATAAAATCCGAAAAAATTAAAAACGAGGTCGAAAAATTTCGGTTTTTCAAGCATATCTTAGGAAGTAATCGGAATTTTCTGGTTTTCTTTAAAGCGTGATAATAACTCTTTAAGCATTTATTATATTAGAAGAGGCGGCCTTCTGCAACTCATATTTTAATATACTATTTCAATTATTATAAAAATTAACATTAAAAAACTATTTATTCGCACCAATGACTCAATAATTTTGGCTTGAGATTCATTACAGTGGTTGCCAGTGATTTCGTTCACTGCATGTCAGGGTACAAGTCATTTACCATAATAGAAGAGTATTATGTTTAGAATATATTACGAAGCCAAAAATCGAATACTATACAGGGTATTGTATATAACAAACTATTACATTACACACTCTGCAAAAAAGTTTTCTTTGAAAAATTCGCAATTAAAATGATAAATTTCACAGATTTTAGAGAACAAATTATTCAACGAGGTAAACCCTTGGAAATTAGGATTTTTTATATGAACTGGGATAGCACTGTTTAATTTGGTAAATACGTGATGGTACGTTTTACAGTATAGCATGAGAAGTATGCAAATTGACGCAATCATAACTGACGTGCATAAATTATCACACTTCTCTTAATAGAAAAATTGTTCATTTTATATAGCGCTTTGATTAGATTTAACGGCATAATTTGCATCTAAATAAGTTATAACATACGGCGCGATACAACCCATTTCGTGATTTTGTATAATTTGTATTTATATTTCTTGGGAAATATTTAGGGGCAATTATTTATGGCATACGCTTTGTGGCATACCTATTGTGGAAGAAACGTATAAATAACTGAATATTGAGGTATATTTTCCTTTATAATACATTTGCAGAAATGAAATTTGACAAAGGTATAATTTCATACTTGACGGTCTTGTGAAATTATTAACAATCCTACTTAGAATTAGTGTCAACCGTAAATGTAGGTATATAAAATGGTGCTATACCCTAATAATGCTTACTGGTCTGCACAAAATAATTTGATTTGTAAGGGAGCGTTGACCATAATTTGAATGGCAAGCGCGTGTTAAATATTTGTAAGATACGATATTGGCATATATGTATTCCGTTCACAAAATTGTCTATAGAAAAATTATTGGCTATACTAACCCTGTATTGGAGAAGCGCGCAAATGCTCTCATCATTTTTAGACTCAGTTCACGTTCCCTAGAGTTGAACTGTAGTGACAGATTGAGAGGATGGCCGAAAACGTATTCTATTTCATCTCCATGCATTACTCCCATCCATTCGCCCCACAAAGATGTGCTGGTTCTCTGAAATAATAATGATTGCATTTAGTTGAATGTGTAGTTGGAGATATACGAGGCTACCCTAAACAAATTTATTATTAATTAATGTATTAAACGTTCTCTATAGAGTCTGTATATATATCAAACGATCAATAAGAAGTCATTCCTCTTGTAGCACGAAACATCAATACACTGAGCGGCGATTATCCATTCTTTTGAACACAGTTACCGCCGTATACGATTCCGGATTTTAATATTAAACTTGAGCTTGTCGCATTGCTAACACAATTAATATCAATAGCGAAATGCAAACTCCTTCATTAACTAATCATATTTCAATTACAGCTAAGAGTGCGTTATTCACGTTAACGATACCAATTACCTTTCCAGATTGCTACTTTACTGAAGCTGGCGTACGTGCTTAAAATAATAGTAAGAAATATCGAGGATTTGAAATGAAAAAAAAATCGGTTTCTATTGAAAATTGGTTGTACTACGTTGAAATGGATTTACAAATTGAGAGCCAACATAACAAGAATTAGGACAATGCTTGCAAGTGATACCTGAAAAAATTGTCTTAGACCTAATACAATGCGATCAAAAATGATTGGCGGTTTAGTCGCCTTTGGAATTTTTGTTTACATGGGAAATCGTATTTAACTTGAACTTCCAAATGCGACTCGACAGCCAATCATTTTTGATCGCCCGATATAATTTACTATTCATTACTGAACAAGGGCGTCCATAATAAAAAAAAGTGCATTTTTGGCAAAACATATAGTAAATGTATAGATTGGCAGAGTGGATAATTTCAATTATAATAGTTGGAATTCGGTTAATTGCAGGGAAATTGGAGCTGAATGTAATTATTCGTAGAAAGTGAAGGAATTCCGAATACTTTCCGAGATAACCGAAAATCCTTTTTATTTTCTGCTGAAGTTACTTGAATAGACTTCTGAAAACAAATGACACTTTTTCATTGCAACTTTTTCTCGCAACAAGCTGTCATGGATGGATTTGAATTCCAACCTTTCGGTGTCTTTTGGTACGATCTTAACTTTATTTTTTTAAATATTTTGAAAGGGCTTGTCATTCTGAAAGAATACGAACCCAGTCACATAGGTATGTATTGGAACAAAGAAAATATGCAACACCATTTTCTGAATTGGAATTTATTATACTACTAGATTTTCCCCGCGACTTCGTACGCTGGATTTTGTCTGATATACAGGGTGTCCCTAAAAGGTCTGTACAACGCGCTACCATGAGTTCTTGGTATCAAAATAGGACGATTTAACCCAACTTACCTCTATCCAAAAGTGCTTCGGTAAGGCGCTATCTACCGCCAAAAATTAAAAAAAAAAATCGTTATTTTTATTTTATCGGAAAATGGTTTTGCCGATTAAAATGAAATTCGGGATGTGAATGTTCTAATGTAAAAAGGGTCTTTGTGATATCATCGTTTTGATTGTAGTTGCTATGTAGGTGGTAAAATACTGACCATCCACATCTGAAGAGGTCTAAAACTTTTTAACTACTATTTTGACAGTTCTGAATTTTTAGACACTGATAGACAGTTTACTTGCAAGCATTTTTTGTCTCTTGATGAATATTGCTATCTGTGATGGTTTACGAAAAAAAAAAATTTAGGCATTATGAATGGCATGCACCATACATGCGATTGTTCCTCAAAAACCATAAGTGCAAGCAAGAAGTAGGCTATGACGATTTGGAAACCTGTGAGTATACTCCCTAACGCATTGGCGACCATTTCCACGACTGTATCCAAACACTAATAGCATATCAGTTAACTCTGCGTTACTGTATTGAAAGGCCATATTACAATTTTAACAATGAAATTTTAAGTCTTCAAGCAAAACGTAAATTGTTCAAGTTTAAGAAACAACAAACAAACGTTACGCCACTCTAAGGTTTCACAGCCATCTTCTGATTTTTTGAGGAACAATCGCATGTATGGTGCATGCCATCCATCATGCCTAAAATTTTTTTTTTCCGTAAACCATCACAGATAGCGATATTCATCAAGAGACAAAAAATGCTTGCAAGTAAACTGTCTATCAGTGTCTAAAAATTCAGAACCGTCAAAATAGTAGTTAAAAAGTTTTAGACCTCTTCAGATGTGGATGGTCAGTATTTTACCATCTACATAGCAACTACAATCAAAACGATGATATCACAAAGACCCTTTTTACATTAGACATTCACATCCCGAATTTCATTTTAATCGGCAAAACCATTATCCGATAAAATAAAAATAACGATTTTTTTTTTAAATCTTTGGCGGTAGATAGCGCCTTACCGAAGCACTTTTGGATAGAGGTAAGTTCGGTTAAATCGTCCTATTTTGATACCAAGAACCCCTGGTAGCGCGTTGTACAGACCTTTTAGGGACACCCTGTATAATAACGAAAACTCAACTTACAGAATGTAAAAATGTAAACGCATCGGTACGGTACGCGAAATAGAACAGTGCGACATCAACGAAAAAAGAAGTTAAAAAAAACCTATAATCCGATCGGGCCCAATTGTGAATCTAAACCATCCGAGGACACACAGAGACATATAAACAAAATTTCATGAAAATCCATCCAGTAGTTTTGTTAATTCATCAACAATATCTAATACTTTTATCAACTGCAATAATCATAAAATAAACAAAAAGGCGATAAAAAGGTAAAGTAATGTCTATTTGTTTTGGTCCAATTATTATGCACCTGGGCTACCACACTAGCTACTATCCTAAAGTTGACAATAAAAAAAATAATACAAAAAAATAAGGTAGCTATTAAATATGTGCAGGGTTGCATCTGGTGGCTAGGTAAGGTATGTTTGAAGGGACTCAAAGGTATTTGTATTAATCCCACGAACGATATGAGTAAATAATATAGAACGGCGGTTGTAAAACAAGCGAGTTGTAGCGAGTATCCCCAGAGCAGAATTTTTGTTGAAAATTTAACGCAAAATTTCAGGCCATTAATTTTCCCAAATTATGAAATTAGATTAAAATGATTGAAGGACACAATACATAGTGTTAATACTAAATTAATACATCGGAAACGGCACTCATTAAGACAAACAAGTTTCCTTAGTTCCAATTTTTGATTTGTTGTCCCAGTTCGAAGTTCGCGTTCATTTGATTTTCGAAAAATCGTCCTAACAAACATTTTCAAACCTTCAAAAATTTGTATTTGCACTTTCTATTATTTTTTCAAATAAAATAGCGATCGATCAAAAATTTCAAAAAACATTTTTTGTTAACCGCCCCATCGATTTTTGAAAGTAAAACATTTATAAAATCCATACATTATAGACACTACAACATTTGTGCTAAACGTTTTTTTCAATCTATCTTGCGAAGAGGGACAATTTCGATGGGGTGGTTATCAAAAAATGTTTTTTTTTAATTTTTGATCAATAGCTATTTTGTTATTTGAAAGAGTAAAAAATAATTGCTAGATAGCTGAAAGTTTTGAAAATTTTTGTTTTTTTTCAATAGTCCTTAAAGTAAGGGAGTTATGATGATTTGTCGAAAAACAAAAGAACTCCAACTTCGAACTGGGCACCAAATCAAGAACTAAGAAAAGTTGTTTGTTTTAATGAGTTCTAACTGCCGTTTTCCGGTGTAACAACTTAGTATTAACACCCTGTATATTAGTAAACGAAAACAAGTTCCTATTTCCATTACATCCAAGGAATATCATCAATTATTTCAATTTAATTCTTCAGCGAGCATCCCCTACTCCACCGCCAACATTCGCTAACCGAGTGAGTGCACTTTTTTTATGTTTTTGGTAAAGTAACTAGCTGGTCGCACCACTAGCGCTACTTAATAAATAGATGTTTTCTTTTGCAATTTGACAAAATTTTTACAAGCTTATTCCAGTGCATCGTTACTGTTGGCGTAGTTCAAAAATAAGAAATTCGGTCAAATCCCTTAAGTTTTTTACCTAACGGCGCTCGCAAAACTTATGCTAGCTAGTATTTCTTCGAACGTTAACTCTATAAAATGAGGTACTTGGAGGAGTGTGGGGGGGGGGTGTTATTTCATTCACCCATGAGATTGTTTTGTTTTAATTAATTAATTGAATAATCTTGAAAATATAAGATAAAAAATGCACATCCGTATTAAAAACAAATAAAGTTTATGATGATCTGTAACATTTTGTTTATTGTCGTCTAATTTTTGATTAGCGACCATTGCTATTGCAACGGATTCAGCTAACGAGTTTCGATTGGTACATAATTTTTATATTGATATTTTACTTCTTAGTAACTGTTCCGTCGTATCCTTTTTTGATAAATTCAAGGTCAATTTAATCGCATAATTATTCAGTATAATCAATTTTTGCTGATTAATCGAAGCATTCACCGTGATTTTTGGGTCGAATGCTGAACCGTATCGCAAGTGGAAATAATTAAACCTGTTCAAGCTCTCTAGATTTCTTTCACAAAACTTTACAATTAGACAAGACTGACTGTCTTGTCAAAAAGTTTCGATAACGGCCTGGCAACCACACACCAAACAATGAGCGGCTACGTTTCAACATCCACCCAAGAGAAAAAACAAAACAGCGACTCGCGTCCCCCATCAAAAAGGCAAAGATTAACGTCCGTCTATTATATTTAAAACAATTTCCCTTTCTTTTCATCTTTGCGGGCATTCTCCTTCTTATCAAAAACATCTGATTATCTAAACTTAATTAGCTTACGCAGTGATAACGACCCGAGATGCCACTTTTACAAAAGAATAAAATTAATCTGTTAACACTAACTGCTTTATTACAATTAGCAACGTTAAATAATTCGTAAACAAGATTCAAGTACCATGTCCAAAATTGTGTTCATTATGAATTAGCGACAACATTTAACGTCAATAATAAATGAAAATAAACAGATACAGAGTGAACCATCGTTATTATAGGTGCTTATCTTATGCCAAATAAAACGTCGACAGGACGTAGTTTACACAAAAATATACTTAGAGATTTTAAAGCCAAATTATG